AGCTGTTTGAAATACTCGCAGTGCGAACAGAAATTAGAAACACCCAGTGTATAGTCCTCTTAATATATAGCCCGTGTCTTCACAAAGAAAGATGAATTTAAACATTACTTCCTTCAGGACATCTTATGTCTCAGGCCGGTCAAACCTCTTTGCACATCATTTCACCACTTTGCCTCTCTCATGCTCCAAATACAAAACAACCTACTGGGACCACCAGTCATTTCTGACTGCTTCCTTGAATGTTTAGTGCAAGCCTTCATCCAGCAATTTCGTGTCGAAAGTAGAGTTCATCAAGTCTCCTGATGTAAACCACAATACCTTTCTGCCAAAACTCCCACAAATTATCATTGATTTCTTACTAGAACTTTTCAACAATATCTGGGCGTCAGGCATATTTCTTGTCCTGCATGAGAGATGTGTCTTCGAATATATGTTCCACGTTACGTAGTGTTCCACAGGGACCCCTCCATTTTTTTTTTGTATTTCCCACCTTCCTGTGGTATATGCTGATGTCATAACTGTCTTCTGTTGTGGTATAACTCTTGCTGATGTGCAGCGGCGACTCCAACTTGTAGTGAAACGTATCATTAAACGGATGCGTACCTGGGGACTAAATGTTGCAAATTGCAGACTAATGTACGTGACTCGGAATTGCCTCGGGGCATTACCTACCCCTAATGTTGACTCTATATCTTTCCAACTTGTATATTCTCGAATAGCTTGGACTGATGCTAGATAGTTCTAATTTAACATGAGCAAAGCATATCTGACTAGAAAGAATTTTGTGGAAAACGCTTGAGCATCATGCGCATGACGCTCCTTGCTTCTCCCCTTTATAAAGTACTAATAAGAAGCTAGCATGAACATGGTAGTGTAGTATATGGTCTTTCTAAATCGACTCGATCCTATTCAAAACTCGTTTCTACGTATAGCATAACCCTGGGACCTGAGTCTGGTAATGATCCACTCCACTATGTTCGACTGAAGATGGATTGCCTACACTACAAACGCCTCACCCAGGCTCCTCTTACCCACCCCATGCAGTTTGCACTGGTACACTTGCAGCTTCCTACAGCCCCAGAGTGGAGACTGTCCTATGTCATTTTTTGCTCGAGCGCACACCTCATTTGTTGCTTTAGTTATTTTCCCAATGGAAATAAATGACTCTCTCGGACATTTTTTGGGGGTTATCTTAGGTTCTCTACGCATATGCGGCTATTTATGATAATCCATGTAACTGCATTTGTGTATACCTGAATAAACTTACTAACAGTGAATTCACAAATTCCTCCCTGAGTACACATTAAGACTGGAGACAGCATAACAACAGCACTGTTCTGTCTCTCAAGTTCCCCGACAACAACACAAAAACATACGACGATCGAGCCTAAACAAAATAACATAGGAGTTAATTCTCTCACTCCTCCCAACACCCTACATTCCTCCTTTTCCAAATTGTATTATATCACCAAAATAGGTTGTATCATTCCAATACAAAGATTAGCTTATCAAAGTAATTTATAAATCCAACCTATCCGGAGGATAGGAAGATACCAGGAGAGGAGGAAATTCCAAAGGGTCTTTTATATTTAAAAATTCCCTTGTGGTTATTAATTATTAAAATCTGTTAGCTCCTCTCATTTACTAGTATCTGCAAATATGCATCCTTCATAACCTATTTTGTAAATATCTTGCTTTTACCCACTACAGACAATAATTCTTCAGTCCTGGGTAAAAGATATCTCTCACAATGAATATGTTGATTTGCATATTTAAAATCCCCACATATCCTCTCTCAAATTTTTTTTTTTGGCAGATTGCCTACTTTGCAATGCCAAATTTTATCCAACTAAGTTAGGGAATAAATTTCATTCACCACTACCATGAATAATTGACCCCTAACTCGGGGGGCAGCTTGGCCCCGGAAGGTGCATTTCCCCGTCAAAGCCTTTAAATCAGCATTGACAATTCATGCAAGGACTCATCATGTCGTTTCTTCTTTTATTGAAATGCCAATAAACTGTGGCGATAGGCTGGTTTCAGTGCACAATAATTCTTCAGTGCTATTACCATGTCATAACTCTCACTGTATCGTAAATCTGGCGCACACTTATTACCCAGAACACTGTAAGTTTCTTGATCCCAGGGAAACTAGGAAGAACTTCCTCTTTTTATCTTACTCTGCAATTCCCAAATGAGCGAAACTGGCTTCCAGCAAACTTAGCCAAGGCTCCAAAGAGATCTTTAATGGATCAAAAGGCTCCGGCCTACCCTGTGGCGCCGTCATGTTGCTGCTGCTGTAATAGATCCTTTCAATAATTATCGCTCTGTTGCAACGTCCTGGACTGCCAATATCTTCATCACTTCAGCAAAACATTGGCCCAATAATCTTTGGCTGTGATAATCCCATCCTCATCGCCACTGTTATGGCTGGGGGAGAGGGGTAATAAAAGACCGCGTAAAAACTACAACATTACTGTCTCTTAAGTTCCCAAATAACATCAACACAAAAACAAAAGACAATCATGCATAAACAAAATAACATGATTTAATTCTCTCACTGTTTACCAACACCTTACAGACATCCATGATCAAAGTCCACTATTCCGTTTCGTAACAGATTTGTACCCGAATACCGCTCCTATTCTTAGCGTTGAAGACTTTAAACAGCAAAACTATGCAGATATTTTCAGTCTTTACAGATGGGCCTCAATTTACCTCGTCCCGAGTAACCTCCTCTGCTACATACTTTTCTAAGCTATCTCTGTACCAAGCCTGGAAAGGTTACATGAAACATTATTCTTTCAGGCTAAATTTTTGCCATATATACAAATCACTCTTATTTGTGCATGTGTAGCTTTATAATAATAATAATAATAATAATAATAATAATAATAATAATAATAATAATAATAATAATAATAATAATAATAATAATCTTTATTTCTACAAGTACAAGGTATACAAGCCTAGCTGACATTAATGACATACTACTAATACAGAAAGCCGCTTGTTACGCTGAGCATTTTGGGCAAATTAGGTCAGTTTTGTCCCAGGATGTGACCCACACCAGTCGACTAACACCCAAGTACCCACTTTATACTGATGAGTGAACAGAGACAGCAAGTGTCTTATAGAAACACGTCCTAATGTTTTTAAGCCTACCGGAGATTCGAACTCCGGACCTCAGTGTGTGAGCTGAGTGCCCTAGCGATCGAGCTACGGGCATCCTAACATGCAGTTACTTTCACACTTAAGCCTCCCCTTGCTCTTCTTTCTACTACAAGGCTTGTATCTCATTGTTCCATGATAGACATACTTAGACTTCTGCTATTCTTCATTTCGGCGTCGAAATGGAGAATAGTAAAATGTTGTGCTGGTATTCAAGGAAATGAGATAGTTGATAGGAAAATAAACAAGGATCATTTCCAGCAGGGAATAGAATATCTGATGTTGGATGTAAATGAATTGGCTCCAGTGATAGGGTGGACCAGTTGTCGACTCTGGCTGCCAGATACAGCACTGGTCCTAGGCTCTAAGTAGCTAGGACTCATTCATGATTGTGATGAACCCTCTGTCCTTGGACTCGTGCTAAAGTTCGTCTCCTTGATGTCATGGCGCGTCTACGTACTGGACACACCTAGTTAGTGGCGCATCTCTTGGTTGTACCTGGCAGACAACCCTAGTATGACCGTAGAGAACATTCAGTGCCTGGGAATGGAAAATAATCAGGTTCGATCCAAGGAAGGGGAGAGTATCTCTAGTTCACTGGATCAGGAGCCTTTCAACCTCCAGCACTGTGCTTCTCTCCTGTTCTCCTGTGCCTAGACAGTTATCAACATATGTAAGCTAGATGTATTTCGGGCGCTGTATTATTCGAGACAGGAATCCTCGCATCACATAAGCCCAGCCCCCTCTACCTCATTGGACACAGAAAGAATAGTGCAGAGTACAGTATAAGTTTATAATACAGTGAAACATCAGCATTGAAAATTTGATGTCAGCCAGAATAGACATTCACAAGTTATCGCATGGAAACTAATATTCCAATTTCTTAAATAAAAGTAGCAAAAGGCCCTATACAGCCGAAAAGCAGTCGGGACCTTCCACCAAGAAACACAGTCTTTGAAAGCTTAAAGTCAGTCAATATCCCAAAATACACCAACACTTTGAGTCTGAAGCTGGTTGCAAGTTGCAGTTTCAAGCTATCAGCATTGAAGGTTTGAAGTCGATCGGGTGAGGCATTCACATATTATTGCATGAAAACTACGATCTTAATTTCCCCTTTTCTCCAATGAAATTTGCAAATTGGCGTCTACACACCCCAAATCAAGCTAAGCCTGTCTATAAGCCGGCTACACTAGCCTTAAAAAAGTTTAAGGCTGATCAGAAAAGGCATTCTCCAATTACTGCACGAAAGTCAATTGATTTAAGAAAATTGGCAAAAGTTATGTAACTCAAAATGAATGTGAAACCTCCTGTGAGAAAAACACCAGCACTAAAAAATTAAAGACGAACAGAAAAAAGATGCAACATTACCATTTTAAAAATAAAATGAGCAAATTTAGGGCATTTATCAACGAACCCACTGCACTCCACCTCGGCCATGATATCGTGTTCTCAGACCTAGTACAAAGTGCACTCGGGGTATCAGCCGTGACCATAATATGCACGTCTTCACAAAACACGAAGCGGAGCATAGCACAACTTCCCCATGTTAAAAAAAAAAAAAGTTAAAGCTCTTCATTACATTTTTCCCGATTCATTGGCAGTCATTGGGGACAAAAGCTTTACTCTTATTATTGATGGGATGAAAACACACGAGTTTCATGTAGAAGGGAAAAGTTGCCTCAATAAAGATTATAATGCAAATTTTCTGGTATAGTCGGCAAAACGCCATTTGGATCCTGTGATTCACCTGTTCGTACCTCAAAGAGTTCGACACATATCATGTGTAAATAAGTTTAATGCAAACATGCTTATGGTGTCCTTTTTTTCAGGTCCATGGAGATGGATAGTCTGCGGACCTTCCTGAGGCTGCAGGTAGCACCGTACTGGAAGTCTGTGGTGGTGTTCCTAACGCCGCTGCTCCTCCTGCCCTTCCCAATAATCTTCACCGGTTCCGTGAGTCTTGCTTCCCACTGTTACTTAACTGACATTACCACTTTGTTACTTTGATATCTTTCTTTGAACCCCATACCCATCCTGTGGGTGATAGTCAAAAAGATTACAGAGGCACATAATGGGTCCAGGGACTGGGCTGCAGAGTTCCCATAGCTAAAGAAATACACTGGTTATGAACTATTTACATATTTATATCTGGTTACAGTCGTAATGCGTTATTTATGAAGACATGAATTAGGTTACACACACACAAAAAAAAATAAAAAAATACAAAAAATTGCTTTATATTACCCCGCATGTGTAGTCCTTTACATAATTGTCAGAGGCAGTGAATGAGTTTATTAATCACGTTTCGATCACGCCCTTGAGTGGGTGAAACGTCTTTAATAAAGGTATCCACTTGGTCTATTTGTTATTTACTCCACCTTGTCGAGATTTAAATACTCTTCCGTTGTGGCTCTTATGGCTGTTAACCCCCCGGGATGTGATCCATAACAAATCTATCTGTAGGAAATTATGGGACGAGGTTCGTCCACATAATTTGAGGGGGCAACTAAGTAACAATTTATTGTACTTACCAATGTTACTTGTACCTCAGGGCCAGGTGGGATTTTAGAGACACTAGGCTGCACCATGTCTCCTCTCCGAGACACACACACACTCTCCCACCCACCCACAAAGTCGGGCCTATCAAATGTTACAACATAAAATGAATACCAATAATGTTGGTAAATTACAAGATATTGAGTGGACTGTATGATGATTTGTGACTTTAAAAGAAAGGGGGGAGGGGATCTGTCGAGTATACTACATTTTACAAAAATATATGCATATTATATAATGAGCACTCACCGGATCACAATTATTCTATTTATGCAACACACCCTAACACTGCCACCACATCTAGATGGCCAGCACAAAACTACTGTACATTATGGGTAAATGTCACTTAGCTAAGGTGTGCTCCTAGGAAGAAGAATCGGTGTCCTCTATTTTTCCGTTCTTGTTGCCGAAATGTAAAGGCTTTCCACACTATTTATCCCAATTCTTCAGCGGGAACATGTCAACAATTTCTAAGTTACAGATTGAGGCTGACATATACCCATTGAACTTTGATGATGCCTGATTACATTGCAGTATTAAAGGACTAGTGTTCACACATTCAGTTTCAATATGGCGTCTCTCTTTCCGAGACACTCTCCGGCTGTTCCATATCCCCCTTCACTTAAAATTTATCGCAGGGTCCAAATAGCATCACATTTTAATACGCATTTATTATATTATTCATTTATATCTACCTTTAGGAAAATTATGTAAAAATTTTCCACACTATCACACCCAGGTATCTATTTGCTGCTACACGAGGGACAACTGGTGTAAGCACATGAATAAACATAGGTACAACACTAGGATATCTTGTATTGTCGAAACATTTTGCCTGCACAGCTGGCTTCTTTGGCAAAAGAACACAAGAATGGAGGAACCATACCGGGAAGTGTTAGTTTAGCAACAGAATTGTTGATGAATGGGAGTTTATCCCACTCACCAACAAGAACTTTGGGTAGTGGATGAGTGAATGCAGATTCCATTCACACTCACTCATGTACTCATCCATCCTGTTTAAAGCTACCCAAAGTTCTTGCCTCAGTGATACTACCTGAGAGTTTGTCCCACTCATCTACAACTCTACCACTAAACTAGAACGTCCCAAAGTCATTTCTAAATTTGTCCAACTTGAATCCATTGCTGCGAGTCTTGTCTAGGTTAGATATTTTATAGAACTTATCTCCTTCATTTCTGTTTTCCATTTGTGCATTGTGGTCATATCTTCCCCAATTCTCTTTCCAAAATGCAAATTCAGTGCCTCCAGCGTGTTACAGAATGAAATGAAATAAATTACCTATAAACTTGGTGCTCTGGGTAATGGGGATTTTTCACTAAGCTTCGGCTAGGCGCCAATACTGGCAGAAACAAATAAAAAAAAGTGTGGTGAATTTCACATCATCCGTAAAATAAAGCCTAGCGAAAAATAGCGGAAAGTTGAAGAGCTACCGTGAAGGTGAGAGAGATCACTGTAACGTTAGTAGGAAAAAAGTGAAGAAGTGCTGTACGGGACGACAGGGAAGTGAAGAAGTGCTGTACAGGACGACAGGGAAGACGCAGAAAATCCAGAGTAAAAAGCGAGAAACTGGTTTCGAGTTATTAATGATACATTTAATAAAAGCGCTTAACCTGAGATTGTTGAAACCCACAAGTAACAGAAAGAGGAAAGTTGTCAGGAAAATTCAAGAACAAATTATAAAGTAACATAATCTTTGTTACACTTCCGATGGTGTTCATGAGGGGATGTTTTTACGTGGGTCAGTCAAATCATTGTCGTTAATGTGACTTCTCAAATGCTTTTAGAGTTCGTTTAAGAGTGTGATTCAGGGGTTAAATGGGTGTTTAAGGTCCATTCACAGTGTGGTTATCTTGGTAGATCTCTGGACGTCACAATTCGTACACACACACACACACACGCACACACACACACACACACACACACACACACACACACACACAGTATGAAAACGACATAGCATCGAAAGTCAAATCTGACCCGAAACTGCTGTATAGCCACATTAGGAGGAAGACAACAGTCAAGGACCAGGTGATAAGGCTGAGGAAAGAAGGTGGAGAACTCACAAGAAACGAACAAGAGGTATGTGAGGAGCTCAACACGAGATTTAAGGAAGTATTTACAGTAGAGACAGGAAGGACTCTGGGGGGACAGACCAGATGGGGACACCAGCAAGGAATACACCAACAAGTGTTGGACGACATACATACAGATGAGGAGGAGGTGAAGAAACTGATAAGGGACATCGATACCTCAAAGGCAATAGGACCGGACAACATCTCCCAGTGGGTCCTTAGAGAGGGAGCAGATATGTTGTGCGTGCCACTTACCACAATCTTCAACACGTCCCTGAAACTGGGCAAACTACCTGAGGTATGGAAGACGGCAAATGTAGTTCCCATTTTTAAAAAAGGAGACAGAAAGAGGCACTAAACTATAGACCTGTGTCATTGACGTGTATAGTATGCAAAGTTTGGAGAAGATTATCAGGAGGAGAGTGGTGGAGCACCTGGAACGGAACAAGAGTATAAATGCCAACCAGCACGGATTCATGGAAGGCAAATCCTGTGTCACAAACCTTCTGGAGTTTTATGATAAAATAACAGAAGTAAGACACGAGAGAGAGGGGCGTTTTGATTGCATCTTCTTGGACTGCAAGAAGGCCTTTGACACAGTTCCTCACAAGAGATTAGTGCAGAAGCTAGAGCATCAGGCGCATATAACAGGAAGGGCACTGCAATGGATCAGAGAATACCTGACAGGGAGGCAACAACGAGTCATGGTACGTAATGAAGTATCACAATGGGCACCTGTGACGAGCGGGGTCCCACAGGGGTCGGTCCTAGGACCAGTGCTATTTTTGGTATATGTGAACGACATGATGGAAGGGTTAGACTCAGAAGTGTCCCTGTTTGCAGATGATGTAAAGTTAATGAAGAGAATTAAATCAGATGAGGACCAGGCAGGACTTCAAAGAGACCTGGACAGACTGGACACCTGGTCCAGCAAATGGCTTCTCGAATTTAATCCTGCCAAATGCAAAGTCATGAAGATAGGGGAAGGGCACAGAAGACCACAGACAGAGTATAGGCTAGGTGGCCAAAGACTGCAAGCCTCACTCAAGGAGAAAGATCTTGGGGTGAGTATATAACACCGAGCATGTCTCCGGAAGCACACATCAACCAGATAACTGCTGCAGCATATGGGCGCCTGGCAAACCTGAGAACAGCATTCCGATACCTTAGTAAGGAATCGTTGAAGGGCACTGTACACGTGTATGTCAGGCCCATACTGGAGTATGCAGCACCTGTTTGGAACCCGCACTTGATAAAGCACGTCAGAAACTAGAGAAAGTACAAAGGTTTGCGACAAGGTTAGTTCCAGAGCTAAGGGGAATGTCCTATGAAGAAAGATTAAGGGAAATCGGCCTGACGACACTGGAGGACAGGAGGGTCAGGGAAGACATGATAACGACATATAAAATACTGCGTGGAATAGACAAGGTGGACAAAGACAGGATGTTCAGGGAGGGGACACTGAAACAAGAGGCCACAATTGGAAGTTGAAGACACAAATGAGTCAGAGAGATATTAGGAAGTATTTCTTCAGTCATAGAGTTGTCAGGCAGTGGAATAGCCTAGAAAATGACGTAGTGGAGGCAGGAACCATACACAGTTTTAAGACGAGGTTTGATAAAGCTCATGGAGCGGGGAGAGAGAGGGCCCAGTAGCAACCGGTGAAGAGGCGGGGCCAGGAGCTAAGACTCGACCCCTGCAACCACAAATAGGTGAGTACACACACACACACCACACACGCACACACACACACACACACACACACACACACACACACACACACACACACACACACACACACACACACACACACACACACAGGCCTGACGACACTGGAGGACAGGAGGGTCAGGGGAGACATGATAACGACATATAAAATACTGCGTGGAATAGACAAGGTGGACAAGGACAGGATGTTCCAGGGAGGGGACACAGAAACAAGAGGCCACAATTGGAAGTTGAAGACACAAATGAGTCAGAGAGATAGTAGGAAGTATTTCTTCAGTCATAGAGTTGTAAGGCAGTGGAATAGCCTAGAAAATGACGTAGTGGAGGCAGGAACCATACACAGTTTTAAGACGAGGTTTGATAAAGCTCATGGAGCGGGGAGAGAGAGGGTCTAGTAGCAACCGGTGAAGAGGCGGGGCCAGGAGCTAGGACTCGACCCCTGCAACCACAAATAGGTGAGTACAAAATAGGTGAGTACACACACACATATATATATATATTATATATATATATATATATATATATATAATATATATATATATATATATATATATATTATATATATATTTATATAAGATGGGGTCCACTCTGGTGTAAATTGTGGGACCATAGCCTCGGAGAAGTGGATAAAAAGGCTTCAAGGAAGAATATTTGGATTTCTTCCTGAAGCCGTTTGAATATTCCTCTTCCCCTACCACCCCATCTTTTGATATATATTTTTTTTACTAATAGGAATATTTTATTACATAATTAGGTACAGAAGATTTAAGAGATACATTGTTGATATAAAGGTGGCATATAAGGTACATGTTGTTACGTGTGTATCACCGATTATAAGGCGAAAATCTCATCCAGCTCCTCAGAGCATTACCCTCAGGCATTACCCCTTTGAACAGCCGCACTGAGCCGCTGGAACAGGAAACTAGCTGCCCTGGGATCCCTAGTTACCCTGATGAGTCTTTTTCCCAGCTCCTTAAGGAATTTAGATGCACTCTTTCCCCATGAGCCAAGGGTCTCTGAGCCTATGGGAACAAACATATATATATATATATATATATATATATATATATATATGTGTGTGTGTGTGTGTGTGTGTGTGTGTGTGTGTGTGTGTGTGTGTGTGTGTGTGTGTGTGTGTGTGTGTGTGTGTGTGTTCAGAGCAATGAGCAGACACTCTTCTGAGGGATCTGCAGTACATGACCTACCAGTTTCATATAGAGGTATTTGCTGTAATCTCTACCCACCTTCGCAACTGTTGGCAACAACGTTGAGCTGATATGACTCATAACAAATTACATTTTATCAAAGCAAGTTTGGGTTTCTGGTCTTCATCTTGTCATCAATACCAAGGTTGCGAGACAACACTCTCGTCTTCGCATCGGACATACTCGTCTAACTCATGGGTATCTCATGAAGAGGCGTCCTGTTCCACGTTGTGAGGTTTGTCTAGTTCCTGTTTCAATTTCCCATATTCTATTGGACTGTCCTGTCTATCAACAAGCACGCAGAATTTTCCTCCGATGTCATCACCGCTCTAACACCCTTACTTCATTTTCCCTCCGTGCTGATGGACCCACCTTTGACACAGACTCCCTTTTCGACTTTTCGACAGCAACTGATTACACAAACTTTGATAATCCTTCCTTTACCACTCCTCACAGCCCTTCCAAACTTAGATCCTGCATCAGTTCCTACCCTGCAGCACTGTATGACCCTGGTAAGGTTGGCGTTTCCTTTTGATTATAATAATAATAAGTACGCTTTCGGTCCCACGTCAAGGCACTGACAAAAGTCATCCCAAGGAAGCAGTATATGATGTTCATAGCGAATAATAACCCTTCATAATAACACGAGGGATCAGTTTCCGCTTCCTGGACCCTGCAAAATACACAGCAACTGTCTTCTGGCCCTGAAACCTTCACCCAACCATATCAATAGACTGCATGGTCTTGTCGAGGGCATCCTGCAGCGGCGATACGCAAAGCCCAGGAAGAGACGCACAATAAACTGCGAAGCTATCCATGTAGAAGCAGACCTCGACGGGGGCCAGATGACCATCAACATGACTTCTGACGGCGACTAGGAAACAAGAGATACTCGGAAAATTTTTCTGCTGGAGTCTTACCTCCTGGGGAAAATTCTCGCTAAGAATAATTACCAACTCTCACCTTCAGTGTTCTGTCATGTAAAAAAACTAATGGAAAAAACGCAAAGTTGCTCATCAAACTGAAAGTCATACCGTCTTAATTCTACTTCATTTTATCTTTTATGTTCTTTTCTTTAGTCTTTTAGATTATATAATTTTTTATATTTTTACCCCTGCAACAATTTCAGAAAATTAAGCAGATACCTGAAGAGGTCTCCAGTTGGATGTCGAAATATAGAAAACAACTTTATTTTCCGGATTTGTCTCCAAACGGATTATTACTTAGCAACGACAAGTGTTAATTACACTTATATCATTTATATATACAGAGATGTATATATTTCAGTGTATATAAACAACTAAGAGTTTACTTTATTTCCTATTTAAAAAAATCATGTATTCTTTAATGATGGTGTACAGGTGATGTACAACCTCAAGCATCGTGTAGTAGATAGGTTTTATACCTTTATACTTGCAGGATATATGCACTTAGAAGTGCCTGTCTCTCGATGAATATCTGCTGATATTTTATATTAATCCGTATTAATGTCAGGTTGTGTACCAGTGATGTACCAGTGATGTACCAGTGATGTACCAGTGACGTACCAGTGATGTACCGGTGATGTACCAGTGACGTACCAGTGACGTACCAGTGATGTACCAGTGACGTACCAGTGATGTATTAGTGACGTACCAGTGATGTACCAGTGACGTACCAGTGATGTACCAGTGACGTACCAGTGATGTATTAGTGACGTACCAGTGATGTACCAGTGAAGTACCAGTGATGTATTAGTGACGTACCAGTGATGTACCAGTGATGTACCAGTGATGTACCAGTGACGTACCAGTGATGTACCAGTGATGTACCAGTGATGTACCAGTGACGTACCAGTGACGTATTAGTGACGTACTGACCTAACAAAGCTACTTTTAATTCTATAGTTGTTTATTCAGTAAAAATTCCGTTTTCTAGCTCTTATTTCATCAAATATACAAGACATATTGTCTGTTAACTTTTCCCATCATCGTCGTCATCATCATCATTATCGTCATCATCATCATCATCATCATTATCGTCATCGTTATCATCATCTTCGTCGTCATCATCACCACAGATCTTAATCTTTGCGTCACTCAGTGTTAAGATCATCTTTCACTGTTAACATTAACATACAGTTATAATCTAACAACAATAGTGCTTCCCGGTGAGGGGCTCTTGATCCAAAAAATTGGACCTGTCCTCCTTTGGCTTGAATTCAGTTTTTTTATTTTCTCCGAGCGCTGTTTAACCCCTAAGGGTTTAACCCTTCCCCTATAATTAAGATGATAAATAATAATTCACAATTACCATTACTGTCAGCGGCTAATTTGCTTAATAGACAGATTTGTTGACTCATGCCTGGGCGGTCTCTATCTATCTAACAAGATGTTGGATAGATTTATATTTAGATAGAGAGACAGGCATTATTCTGGAACCAATAGCGTAGAATATATTAATAATAAGAGTGACAAATTTATTAAAGTGGTTTGATAGCTAATAGGATTTTCCCAGCCTGGGCCAGTAGACCTACTATGGCCTATATTTTTCTTTATATTCCTTGCAGGATTTGGTAATGTAGGTAACTTAATTAAACATTAACGTCATACTCCAGGTAAAACATCACGTTGTTAGATTAGTTTCGGTGCAAAATATATATGGCATGGTCAGATGTGCCGTTTTCAGTAGGATTAAACTAGTCATACTGCTAGTATGCCTAGGAAAAAAAAAAAGAGGTTGGTTAACTAGGTTTAAAGCCTATCGACTACACGAGTCATTTTTTAAATACACTACCTAACAAAATACTCCATACGACTGAATGTACAACAATGCATGCAACCATATGACCTGTCTTTGTAATACTCATTTGTGCTTTATTGTTATCTGTTTACAATAATGTTTTATCACTGATTTCATCATTGCTTAGTTAATTTTAAGCCAGCCCGAAATGCTATGCATAGTATAAGTGGCTTTGGCATGCTGCTCTTATCTGTATTTTTTTGTACCTCTATATGTATGCTCAAATTGTAAATAAATAAATAAATAAATAAATAAATAAATAAAGTATGTAGCCTGTTCACCACCAGTCAGGGAAACTTTAATCCCCAAATTAAGAATTAAAGTAAATTTTCAGTCTATATACATCGAGAGGTATACACATCTCGATGTATATAATCCTTGAAAAGGAGTACTGTTTCCTGCATGCAACGTAAACTGGATACAACAGGGGATGTACGGTGTGTACCCACTAATACCTCAACATAAAAACTCCATTACAGCAGAACATTTCAAGGTTACCGACACGCTGCGTTGACGATCCTGCAGTGCTCGAGTGTCACGAAAAAGCGTTTTCAAGTCTCCGGCGTACTATTTTAGTGGTCCAGGGCTGCGGTCCTCCATGGCTACACTGCCTGAAGGACACGTTGACACGTCATGCAGAGCTGAAAGTAATAGCAGTCAATTACTGCTAGGCTTTAAGGTGGGAGAATGTGATGTAGGTCATTGTTATTCACTGGCTTTTGAAGTCATTTAACCTTTTGTTGACAATCAAATTAATAGACCCTTATCCAAGGGGTACATCAGGGTTTCTATTTTTTAGAAATACTGATAATAATAATAATAATAATAATAATAATAATAATAAATAATAATAATAATAATAATAATAATAATTAATAATAATAATAATAATAATAATAATAATAATAATAATAATAATAATAATAACCACCCATCTCTCTTGATCCCCCCCCCAAAAAAACACATTCACCATTATTTATTCACTTTGTAACTTGCAAGAATCTGGCAGACAAGTCACATATATGGTTCAGTTGACCGTGCGATTGCAACATCTGTATTCCTCCTTCAGGGTGGAGGCACTGTCGTTACCTCTGGGACTCAGTCCGGCGTACCGTTTTCGCTGAATATCTTCATAAATATTAGCTTGATTACACTCCAGCAACACGTCAAGCCATATAAAAAACTTGTCGCCACTCCGCCTGCTGGATGCTAAAGCCCCTTGGTACTAAAACCTCATCTGTCTCCATAAATAATCTGCAGGCGTCTCAGCATACCACCTACATTTTTCTCTTCGTGTATTCTATGACTCACTTTGTCTTTCATAGACATATCTGCCGACGTGTCTAGTCCCAATTACCTAACCTCACTTCCTCCATACTCACTCCAACTGGTTATCCAACTTTTCATTGCTTAAACGTTTTGTTACTCTCATCACTTTGTTTTTTCTATGTTCACTTTTAATTTCCCTCTTTTACACACCCAAATTCCTCCACCAACTTTTACAACTTATTCACAACCTCTCAAAAGAACTGTTATTGGCAGAGTACAAGTGACAACTCCTACTTAATATTATTAATTTTTTTTCTCCGACAACGGTGTATTGTATTTATATTATTACTAATGAAAAGCTCGGATTAGTTTTGGATTGTGTAGCTATGAATTTGTCTTTTTTGTTTTACCAAAATAGGAGATTGGTTTCTCAAAATAACTTCAGAACTCCTCTTCATATCGTCTTCAAACTTTCAATCCTTGTGTAGTTTGTCTTACAAAATATCTTATCTAGACTCGTTGGAATCCGTGCGATAATTGGAAAAAAGCCTGTTCCTATCAGCTTCAGATTTTCAGCCCAAGTTTGTTGTCCAGAAAGCAAGGAAGATTACTGGGCTGCGTGAGTTCAGATTTGGGCTTTGTAGAGGCCAATTTATCAGTTTCATTTGGGGAAATGAGGACGTTTCGCTTACCTCTGTGGGGCACTAAGTTATTGGAGGGCTAACACTAATTTAACAACATATAATATCAGATTTATATAATAGTCACTGTGGTCGCATCTGAAACCATAAGGGCAATTTTATAGATATGGTTTTTATTTTTTTTTACACTACACTATATACCTAGCATAACACTGAGAAATTATGTGTGTGAGGTTTACAGTCACAGTTCTGAATTATTTCACCTATATAACTGGGAAGAACTCTCAGCACAACTAAAACAGTTATTACACTTATTGATACTAGCTGTACCTCAAAGACAGGTGGGACTTTAGAACAGTGGGCCAAATCACTGTCGCTCCTTCGATGTCCACCTACAGCCTAGGTTCCCACACTCACACAATCTGGACCTTAAAATTAGGAACATAGAGTACCAGAATTATAATAAGAAAAATCATATCAGTAACACTGATAAATTAGGTTGTGGACTGTATAATTAGGATTTACTGACTTGACATTCAGAAGTTTGTTGGTCCTCGATTTATTACATGTATTCATAAGGTAGAACATTAAGAGAGTGCACATAAGTGTTGAGCACATTTACTAACCAAGTTATTATCTTGGTAATACATTTTAACGCCTTACTAGCAAGCAAAATACTGAATGTTGGCCAATGTTAGTTATTTTACCTTACTGATGAGTTGATATCATATTTCAGCTGGCGAGGATAAAATTATTGTAGATGCACGTGATGATCCAGTGTCTTCCAATCACAGCATCAAGTATTATCTTACTTATCAGCTCTATTCTAGCTGAATAAATACGGATCTGAACACTTCCAGATACCCACGACATTCACGCAATTCATGGAACCCAATTATTGCCGATTCACTTTTCGTCGGCTACGATTGCACAAGATTAAATTTGGTAACAATCACCATTCACGTTTATATTCTGCCATTTTACGCTGCACTTCTTGGTGTGTTGGTTCTTTTGACATTCGACATTTTTCTAAAAGTCACACCAACACATATAAACATTGTTATATTCTTCTATTTTTATACACTAATTTCAGGAAAATTAAAAAAAAAATCCACAGTATTACATCGTATACCGGAAATAACAATTCTCAATACATCTGGCATAACTACAGTATACACCGAGTATAACATTATACACAACATGTATGATGGCAGGTCACTGTTAATACTGGTCTCTGACGTCAGGAACTGGAGGTTGAGGAAAGTAGGAAAACCTGTGTTTGATGGTCACAACTCGTTTGTTTCCTAGTATGACATTCTTCAACTCTAGGTTACCAACCTTTTTAATAATTAGCTGTTGCTTATTTCTAAGTGAGAGAGAGAGAGAGTGGGAGATATATACCTAAAGATTTTTGACACAAGGATTACGTATTCACGTCCGCCGGGTAGTGAGCCTCGTTGTGTCACAAGTACCAGACATTTATATCGTCTCCAACAGAGAGCAAAACTTTCTCAATTATATAAAAAAAAAATTGTTCCTTTTTACAGCAATGCTCTTTCATCTGTTTTCTTCTGTTTTTCTGTATACAAATTTTCCTAAATCTCATTATTCACCGCCGTTATTTATTCTCCTTATTTTTGATAATATTAAAAAAGTAATAAAGACCCAGTGCAACAAATTATGTTGTGGAGACGATCAAAAATAGCCTCGGAAAAAAAAAATCAAGAAAAAATCTATTGCTTCAGAATTTTCTTCCCCTGGCACTACCCATTTTTTATCAAAGAATATATTGATGTAATGATACGTGTGCATTGTTAAATAATAGACACACGTTGCAGATGCTTTTATTGGGACGATGTTTCTATGTGTACTTGACTGAAGTAGCCTACTGTGTAGGCGAAACGTTTCGGATTAAAGTTGCTTATGTGTCTTACTTACCAACCTGTTGGTATTGTATACCATTTTGATATTCACTGTCAGACACTGCAACACATGGATAAGTTTTTCAAGTGAAAATTGTTTGATCTGAGAGGGACGTGACCTCCCAGTGGCTACATTCTCACTACTACTACTACTACTACTACTACTACTACTACTACTACTACTACTACTACTACTACTACTACTACTACTACTACTACTACTACTACTACTACTACTACTACTACTACTACTACTACTACTACTACTACTACTACTACTACTACTACTACTACTACTACTACTACTGGGGGCTCTGGTAGCCTGGTGGTTAAAGCTCTCGCTTCACACGGCGAGGGCCCGGTTTCGATTCCCAGCCAGAGTAGAAACATTGGGCGTGTTTCCACCTGTTGTCTGTTCCCCATCAGTAAAATGGGTACCTGGGTGTTAGTCGACTGGTGTGGGTCGCATCCTGGGACACTGACCTAATTTGCCCGAAATGTTCAGCATAACAAGCGGCTTCCTATATAGTAATATGTCAACTAGGCCTGTATACCATGTACATGTAGTAAATAAAGATGTCAGGAGAATTGATAGGGAACAGTGTAGTAAAGAAAGCGAATGCCAGACTGAAGTTCCTATATAGACAAGCACAGTGTCTACCTACTGAGGCTCGCAGGACCCTATGTCTAGCCCTTATACAATGCCATATGGATTACGCTTGCTCTTCGTGGTACTCTGCCTTGACAAAAAAAATGAAAGATAGGCTGCAAATCACCCAGAACAAAATCGTAAGATTCATCCTGGGGCTGGGACCAAGAGAACATGTAGGCCAGGATGAATTACAGCAGTTGGATATGCTGAATATTGAAGACAGAGTAAAACAACTGAAGCTAAATCATGTTTATAAAATTGCTCACAAACAATGTCCAGAATATCTTGCTGTCAATTTTGTCAAGGTTGGGAACCAAAGCAATCATAGTACTAGGGGGAGAGAGCACAACTTTGTAGTACCCACAGTCATTGGCCAGGCTTCAAACACCTTTTATTGTACAGCAATAAAGAAATGGAACAGACTTCCCGCACATGTCAAAGCCACTCATAGTATGAACCAGTTCAAGAAGAGTGCCAAAAGGTGTCTGATGAATGTAGCTACAGAAAGGGAGGGGAATGATTTTCTATTTTTTAGCTAAAATACGTGTAAATTTTACCATATTCAAATTCAAATTCAAAGTTTATTCTCTATAAGGATTACAATGCTGAGTTTACAGAAATTTGGTTATTGTTTGGTTTACATGTAGTAAAATTGCGATTACAGAGTGTACCACTAGAACGCTTAGCATGGCTAGGCATTTCGGGCATACTTAGTTTTATTCTTAATTGTAAAATATTACAAATTATGAGGTAAGTTGGTATTATGGCTAAGTGACTAAATACTAGTTTGTGAGTTTAGCAATGTGAATGCTTTTGTTTTGGCACAGTATATAGTTTCAGTATTGGAGTATCACAGGATTCATTATTTTAAGACTGAGATTAATATTTCTGTTTATGGTCAAATGAGTGAGCGAGTGTAAGTGTGAACCACCAGGTGGTATTCGTGTAGTTAGTTGACGGGGTGTATCAGGGAGATAAGATGTTTTCTAATGGTAGTTTTGAAGGTGATGAAGGTGTCTGCAGTTCTAGAGTTCTCAGGTAGGGTATTCCAGATTTTAGGGCCTTTGACATACATTGAATTTTTGTAAAGGTTTAATCGGACACGGGGAATGTCGTAGAGATGTTTGTTTCTGGTGTTATGCTGTGTTATGCCTATTCCTAGTAATGACCCTCGTATTGTAGATAGTCTTAATGACCCTCGTGTAGTAGATAGTCTTTTTAGTATGATAATAAGATGTTATCTTCATTGTAGAATAATAAGAAAATATTATAACCTTCATATTATAATAATAAGGTAAAAGGACCCCAATGGAAATAAGTCACTCTGACTTTTTTGGGTTATCCCAGGTTCTCTACACATATGCTGCTATGTATGATAATTCTATGTAACTGTATTTGTGTATACCTGAATAAACTTACTTACTTACTTACTTATTATATAGAAATCACTGGCACTTATATCCTCCCCGCCTGGGACAACATGTCCCTTTAAATTACAAGAGAAAGAAAACGGTACCATATAGAGGGGAGACTTCTAAAAACTTACATAAAGGAAACGGGGGCTCACTAAAATGAACTCATTAAAGGGAAGAGACATCTGTGATAACAGGAAAGCCGATCAAAGATATTCATCCCACATAATTCTGAGGCAAACTCTGGTTCTACCTTCAGAAACTGCAGGAAAACAAAAAAATAGACCCTAATTCCTCGGTGTGACCCAGCATTTAAGAGTCTGATGCATATATTTATTTATTTATTTACTTTATGTCTTTGCAAACAGTACATTGAGATTTTACATTTACAATAGTGGGTTGCAATGCAAAGAGAGCCTCTATTATGCCTAGGCATTATGGGCCAACTTAACATTATTGGCTTACAGACTATTGTTATTATTAAAGATTCGCCGGTATTCTCCTGTCCCGGGCCTTTTCCAAGTGGTGGCCCGGCCTTGGCTCCCTGTCTAGGGAGTGTCTGAGACCTAAGTCTTCCATGGGAGGAGGCACAAGTACCTCCTCATCTTTGGGACCAACTGTCCCCAGGCCTAGCCACATTCCCCGCCCTCACGGGGCTCGTAGGGGGAAGCTAGGCCTCTCTGGTCTGCCATCCCCGCCCCAAGGGGGCTAATGGGAATGACAGTCTTGTGAGCTGCAAGCTCGGGTTCAGGCATCTACCCTACCCTAGAAGGGCTGGGCATGGTGTCGATGCTTACAGACTACTTAAGCACGTCTGAGCCTGGCCTAGTAGCTGCTACCAGAGTCAGGTTTAAGCACGTCTGAGCCTGGCCTAGTAGCTGCTACCAGAGTCAGGTTCAAGCACGTCTGAGACTGGCCTAGTAGCTGCTACCAGAGTCAGGTTTAAGCACGTCTGAGCCTGGCCTAGTAGCTGCTACCAGAATAACAAAAACTAAGGCACAATACTGTGGCTGGAACGATACACAAATAACCCGCACATAGAAGAGAGCTTACCACGACGTTTCGGTCCGATTTGGACACCAACAATGCTCTTTTCTGTCATGTCAGAGATCACAATCATCCTATTGACTGTTCTTCTGCTAAAACTGTCTACCCTACTTTTAACTTTCACAGTCGCCGTCTGGTTGAATCCTACCTTATACACAACTTTCCTTATACGAATTTTACTCCTGGCTTTGTCTCTGTAGATGCCTTCCTTTCCCACTACATAGTAAAATGCTCCAAACTTCAGAACCTGATATTTTTTCCCCTTCTATCTTTTCCCTTTCCTCTTTCTCCTTGGGATTTTCTTTCCTCTGCCTAGGCTATTTGGTCCTTTATTATTCCCCCCTTCCCTATGTGTTCTTGTCCCCGCCCTTTGTGGGCCCCTAGCTCCCTGGCAGTGCTCCTCTACTGCTACTACTACTCTACTGCTACTACCTCTACCACTACCTCTCTTTCTCCTTTCCTACTACCTCTCTTGTCTCGTCCCTGTCTGCTGGCTTATATATACTCCCTCCTTCTCTCCTTTTTGTTAGTGTGACTTTGTAAATGGTCCAAGTCGGACTGAAACGTCGTCGTAAGCTCCTCTCTCTTATGTGCGGGTTATTTGTGTAGTGCTACCAGAGTCAGGTTAAGCACCTCTGAGCCTGGCCTAGTAGCTGCTTCCAGAGTCAGGTTAAGCATGTCCCTAGAAGCCCCTTAGGGCCCTCCTTGAGACAAGAACTATGCGTAGCTTGAAATATAGGTTGGATGAGTACATAAGGGGGTGTGGGTGGGTGTGAATTGGACCAGCCTAGCATGGGCCTGCAGGCCTACTGTCATGCTCTCAAATTCTAATCTTTTATTGGGTCGTCAAAGCCTTGGTTCCCATTACTAGGTCTTCAAGGCCTTAGTTATGAATGAGCGTTCACTTGTAGCCTATTCGTTTTAAACTAAGAACTGGCAGCTGTCACACAGTGACATGACTGGCAGCTGTCACACAGTGACATGACTGGCAGCTGTCACACAGTGACATGACTGGCAGCTGTCACACAGTGACGTGACTAGCAGAATGAGAATAGACATGGCAGGTAAATCCCACATGGACTGAATATCGAACACGGTCTGTATATTTAGTACTCAGTCTGAGTCCCCTCTTCAGCAGATGCGAAACATGTTTTGTTGTTGTTCTTCTGTCATTGTTTGTGTTGTACATTCGCTGATATTACTTTCGGTATTGGTCACAGACCGTCCAGAAATGCCTCTTGAAGTCTTTATATCAACAAGTTCTTATTTACAAAGCATGGCTTGCTTCTGCAGTGTTTTAAAAATTGAGGTTGGAGAGTTGAAAGAGGTCTTGCTTCTCCAGGAGGAGATTAGGAGGCTGAAGGTCCACCTCAATGGGTCTGGGAGAGAGTGTGAGGTGGCTGGAGTTGTGGGGAATGAGGCTTCTAGCAGTGAGGTGCAGTCTGTCTCTCGCTGTGAGGAGGCTGTAGTTGGGGAGGTAGCAACGGCTACCAGCAGTGAGGTGCAGCCCAGCACCTGCTACAAGTGGCGAGTGGTTCACAGTAATGGGAGGCGCATCAGAGTAAGGAAAGTTAAGAGTGAAGATCTGAAGGTAGGAAATCGCTTCTCTGTTCTTCAGGATGAATGTACTTCAGTGGCCAGTGAAGGTAAGGTACTACTGCCCCTGCTAATGGAGGTAAGCGCATTCTTGTGGTTGGTGACTCTCAGGTAAGATATATTGACTGTGCTTTTTGTAATAGGAATAAGAAGATGAGAGATAGAGTGTGCTTCCCTGGAGCTGGTGTTGGGGACATTGTCAACAGGCTGGATAATATCATGTCAGGTAATGGGAACAAGCCCATTATCTGTCTCAGTGCTGGTGGAAATGATATTGGGAAGGGTAGGAGAGAAGAGCTGCTAGATAAGTACAGGTCAGCTATAGATTTCATTAAGTCTAAGGGAGGGATCCCAATCATATGTAGCATCTTGCCTAGAAGGGGAGTAGGAAATGAATGGTTGTCTAGGGCAATTGGTGTAAATTGCTGGCTAGACAGATACTGCAAGGAACTTGCAATCCCATTCATTGACAACTGGAACAACTTTTATGGCAAACATGATATGTATGCAAGGGATGGGGTACATCTCTCTGGGGCTGGGGTGGTAGCACTTGCAGACTCGATTGAGAAGGCCATTGGTGAAATGCCTATGATTTTAAACTGATGGAAGATAGAGGTATGGGTGTGTGTGGGAAACAAGCAGGTTGCAACACTAGGGTTGGAAACAGTAAATGTATAAAAGGCATTCAGCATGAAGTTATAAATAAAGACAATAGATCAGGTCAGCAAACAAAGGGGGACAGCAGAGGGCAGCAAGGGACTAGCTCCCTTAAGGTTTACTATACTAATAGCAGGAGTGTAAGAAATAAGATAGATGAGCTAAGATTAATTGCAAGTGCAGGAAACATAGATATTATTGCTATAACAGAGACCTGGCTCAATCTGAAAGATAGAGAGATGCCCTCTGAATGTCACATACAAGGCTATAAATTATTCCACACTGACAGGGTCAACAGGAAAGGTGGTGGAGTAGCGATGTATGTCAGAGACAATTTAAATTGTTGTGTTAGACAAGATATTAAATTAGAAGCGTCAGCCACTGAATCTGTTTGGTTACAGCTTCTCGAGGGCCGAGAAAAACTAATTTTGGGTGTGATTTACAGGGCCCCAAATCTTGATAGGAAGTGCAGTAAACTTCTATGGGACGAAATTCGTAAGGCATCTACATACGAAAATGTTGTGCTAATGGGAGATTTCAACTATAGACAGATTGACTGGAGCAATTTGACAGGAAATTTAGAGTCAGGTGACTTTCTTGATACGATCCAGGATTGTTTTTTAAAACAGTTTGTGACAGAGCCAACTAGGAGAAATAACCTCCTTGACTTGGTTCTTGCCAGTAGGGAAACACTAATTAATAATCTTGAGGTTAATGATGAGCTTGGGGAAAGTGATCACAAATCACTTAGTTTTAATATATCATGGAATTCCCCTAATAATGGCAATCAAGTCTCCGTCCCTGACTTTCGCTTGGCTGATTTCATAAGACTGAAAAATTACTTAGGTGGGCAGAACTGGAATGACCTGACTAAGGGTCAGGTAGGTGGTGATGGTTGCCGATATGATGCTTTCCAGGGCATAGTTCTAGCTGCTCAGTCAAATTATGTTCCAAATAGGGAAATCAGATCAAACAAAAATGATCCTAAATGGATGAACAATAGATTAAAATATCTGATTGGTCAAAAGAGAGGCATATATAGGCAAATCAAAAGAGGAGAGGGGCAATTAAGAAATCGATATATTCAGTTAAAGAGAGAAATAAAAAAGGGAATTAGAAAAGCAAAAAGAGATTATGAGGTTAAAGTTGCAAGAGAATCGAAGACTAACCCAAAAGGATTCTTTCAGGTATACAGAAGTAAGATCAGGGACAAGATAGGCCCACTCAAAAGTTCCTCGGGTCAGCTCACTGACAGTGATAAGGAAATGTGTAGAATTTTTAACACATACTTCCTCTCAGTTTTTACACAGGAGGATACCAGCGATATTCCAGTAATGGTAAATTATGTAGAACAGGACGATAATAAACTGTGCACGATTAGGGTCACAAGTGACATGGTCCTTAGGCAAATAGATAAATTAAAACCTAACAAATCCCCAGGCCCTGATGAACTGTATGCAAGGGTTCTAAAGGAATGTAAAGAGGAGCTTAGCACACCTTTGGCTAATCTTTTCAACACATCACTGCAAACTGGCATGGTGCCAGATAAGTGGAAAATGGCAAATGTGATACCTATTTTCAAAACAGGTGACAGGTCCTTAGCTTCGAACTATAGACCAATAAGCCTAACCTCCATAGTGAGAAAATTTATGGAATCAATAATTGCCAAGGCAGTTCGTAGCCACCTTGAAAAACATAAATTAATCAACGAATCTCAGCATGGT